TCTTTAGAGAGAGGAGGCGGAAAATATTATCAACCATACATTCCTTGCACTAATTACCACTAATTACTTGAAGGTGTTAAAATAAAAAGATAATTTTGCTCCATGATTGAAATGAGTTTTGAGTGGTGAATATATTAATTGGTTCCAGGTGCATGGAAGATATTGGAGTTGTGATCTCATTCCTATCCGTATTCTTAGAATCCAAAGTTCCAAACAATTCCAGACGTTTATTAAAAAAAATCCTTATTCATATGTATATATATATATATAATTTTGAAAATCAAGACAAATTTGATATCAAAATGTTCTATTAGAATCATTTATTAAGTGTTTTTCAGACAAAAATTCACTTAACGCATGATTATAATATATATATTTTTTGATTTTCTCTATTAAGAATTAAAAAAATCCCCTGTTCTTCTGCACCAAGTTTCGACTTTATTGATAAAAAAATTAAAAATTTATTGATATTCAGACAATCTGGTGAAAAAATTATAACTAAGAGATGAATAGATACATACCCAAACCCAATAACCCATACAGAGGTAGTGGAACCGACAAAATTGCAAAAATCACATACGTAGAAGAACAAAACAGAACACCATAGGAGGTGACAAAAAGGGGGAGAACTACAGTTGTGTTTTGTATTTGCAATCTTGATCTGCGATTGTCCTATTCGAAGTAAAAATCGTGACATCGCACGAAGTGGTCGAGATAACTTTAATTTTGAACAGATTCAGCAATTTCACTTTGCCGGAAATCCTCGTCAGAGTGTTGATCGGCAGAACGCCAGACAGGACATCGGAGAAAAGTTGGGAGGAATCGGACAGCAACCGGTCCGCCATGACAGTGACTGTCAAGTTCATGCCGACCGTTTCGTCGGGGGAAATCTCGCCCGCCGGAATCGGAACTTCACCCACCAGTTTCCCCCTGTAATTCAACTCGGCGGAGGAGTTTTTGTATTTGAACCCGACTTTGTTCGGGTTCTTCACCGACAGATCCACGTCGAGCGTGACGTTGAGGGACACCCCGAGCCTGGGAAAGTCTAGGCCGACGTCGAGGTGGCCCAGGTGGACGGAGTTGATCGTCGTGACAGGTTTCTTGGCCTTGAAGACGGTGAGTGCCAAGATCAGGATTAGTAATCCGACGGCTAATAAAACCGCAATTGCTATGAAACAGGGGTTTCTATAAATGG